GAAGAGGAAGAAGAGAGAGGAAGAAGAAGAAGAGGAAGAAGGAGAAGAAGAGAAAGAAGAAGAAGAGGAAGAGGAAGAAGAAGAGAAAGAAGAAGAAGAAGAGAAAGAAGAAGAAGAAGAAGAAGAGAAAGAAGAAGAGAAGGAAGAAGAGAAAGAAGAAGAAGAGAAAGAAGAAGAAGCAGAAGAAGAAGAGGAAGAAGAAGAAGAGAAAGAAGAAGGGGAAGTGGAAGAAGAGAAAGAAGAGAAAGAAGAAGAAGAGAAAGAAGAGAAAGAAGAAGAAGAGAAAGAAGAAGCAGAAGAGAAAGAAGAAGAGAAAGAAGAGAAAGAAGAAAAAGAAGAGAAGGAAGAAGAGAAAGAAGAAGAAGAGAAAGATGAAGCAGAAGAGAAGAGAAAGAAGAAGAAGAGAAAGGAGAAGAAGAAGAAGAGAAAGAAGAAGCAGAAGAAGAAGAAGAGAAAGAGGAAGCAGAAGAAGAAGAGAAAGAAGAAGCAGAAGAAGAAGAAGAGAAAGAAGAATTCCAGTCCGCTATTATATTTGACATTAAAAAGTATTGTGGTTGCAACATTGTATCTATTTGTATCCAAAAAAAACCCCATCTGTATCCGAAATGGATAAAAATAGATACATTGTTGCAACCGCAATACTTTTTAATGTCAAATATAATAGCGGAGCTCTCTGCAGGGACAGAAGTAATTAAATGCCGGCCGTAGACGGGAAGAAAATTGGCCGATTTTCTTTACTGTTGGTGATAACGTCGGCCGATTGAACGACCGATTTTTTGTTTTTTTGTTAAAAAACCGGCCGGTTTTCTCCCCGTCTATGGCCTGCATTAGTTTCACTTTTTAGGCTGGCCATACACTATACAATTTTCTGTCTTATTTCTGCCCAGTTTCCTTTAGATTTACCTTGAACTATGTAGTGCAAGGGCCGGCCTAATTGGATACAATTGAAAGTGTTGTTTAGGTTTGACCTCATATTATATGGTTTTTGATAAATCTAAAGCAAAATTCTCAAGAAAATTGTATAATGTATGGCTGGCCTTAGGCTGACCATACATTATGCAATTTTCTTTAGAAAATTGCTTTAGATTTAACAAAAGCCATATAATAGGAGGTCAAACCCAAACAACACTTTCAGTTGTATCCAATTCGGCAGGCCCTCGCACTACATAGTTCAAGGTAAATCTAAAGGAAATTGGGCAGAAATTGGACAGAAAATTGTATAATATATGGCCAGCCTAAGACAAGCCCAGTGACAACTGGCAGTGGGATTCCAGGTGCAGAAGATGACTGGGCTTCTACGGAGGAGCAGCACTGATACCTTAGAACAGAACTACAGCACACCATTTCCTCACCTCCTCTCTGTAACATAGGGAAGGTGTTCTGTAGTCCTCAAAGATAGTCGGGAACAATGATAACAGAGAAGGACAAGAAGAAAGTACAGAGATTTACCAGCAGGATCTTTCTCTTCACACTTATCCAGTACATATAACAAGCACTTTCAATAGTATATTTAACAGACCAAAAGGCAGCAAATAGCAGCTCATGGTGAGGATTATCATACACTTTATGTACCTTCCCATTGTAATAATAGAATAATAAGAAAAGCAAACAGAAGAAGGTTTTTGCTGCGGCTTCCTCTCCCCGGGTTCAGTTGATCCCTCTGTGAAACCTAACCCTTGTAATCCAGGAATAACACAGCCGCCATCAAACGGCGAGGAAAAGGATTGGATATCAGCAAGAAAAATAGGCTATTTATTTAGTATTTCTTACTCCGTCTTTAAAGACAATTTAGAAGATTGCTAATTTCTAGTCAATAAACAGCTTAAAAGAGCCCGAAGATGTATGAACAAAGCAGTATAATCGCACCGTCTCTGCATTATGGAGCAGCGAGTACAGAGCGGTGCGCGGCGACCTCTGTCCTGCTTGGATCCCACTCAGGCAGACAAATTAAAGGGCGGAGGAGCGGACGGACGCAGCTCCACCATAATTATAAGGACCTTGTATCTCAGGCATTCGGCGAGGCTCCATTGCTTTGGAAGAATGTGTAATTTTTCCTGTGCATGGTAACATTACACCGCTGCTCCAGCCAACCACCGCTGTAATAAGGGGAGCGACTGGTAGCAGAGGAGGCTGACTGCAATAAGTAGCTGCCTTTGTATGGGTATGGGGGGAACAAGAAGGTATACCAGCACACAGGCTTGAGGGGCTCATTAACCTCCCTAGCGGTCTGATTATGTCCATATTTCTGTGCTCAAAGCGGTACATTTTTTTGCATGGAAATATGAATTTTTTTTATTGTAGGCCTGTAATTCTTAGGAATAACTCACTGAAATCTGTCCGAACAAGAGTCTAGTAAACATCCCGGGTAGGATAAAATTTGAAACACAAAATCATAAATTATAATATAATAAATAATCATAAAAAATAATAATATAATAATAAATTTAATTCAATAATATAATCAAACCAAAAACACTGAAATTTGAAATAGAGCGCCAAGTTCGCACATCGCTGAGCAAAGTCGCAAAATCGTTTTCAGTGTCTGATGACGAATTTCCCCCACGAATCATTAAGATGACACTCCTGGCAACAATAAATTCCTGCTTTTCAGCCTTGATCTGAGTAACCCAGCGGCATCTTTGGGAAGATTCAAATCTCTTACCAAATCATTCATCTCCTCCTGAGAAAACAATTTTGCTCTTGTATCATCTTCAAAGTCAGAACTTGATTCGTCATCTGGTTCAGGTATGACTTCACCTTCATCGGAGCTAGGTATCTCTTCCAAGGTAGCAGGGGGCTTGGGTACTGGTATATCTGTGCCATGGGGGATGGGACGAATTGCTGAGTGAAGATTGGGGTATTATTATTATTATTATTATTATACAGTATTTATAAAGCGCCAATAGTTTGCTCAGAGCTGTACATTACAAAGGGGGACAGAACTTGTGACAGAACAATACCAATACAATCCAAAACATGAGGTGATCGAGGGACCTGCTCTTTCGAGCTTACAATCTAGGAGGGAGGGGATGGTGGTACAGGAGGAGATAGCTGTGGGGGATGGAGTGGTAGGAAGAGTGGAGGAGGTCGGCAAGTTAGCAGGGGGTGGGGTAGGCTTCCCTGAAGAGATGGGTTTTCAGGGTGCGCCTAAAGGAGAGGAGAGTAGGTGATAATCTGATGGGTTGGGGCAGGGAGTTCCAGAGGATGGGTGACACCATGGAGAAGTCCTGGAGGCGGGCATGGGAGGAGGAGACCAGGGAACTAGAGAGAAGGAGGTCTTGTGAGGAGAGGAGTGTGCGTGCTGGGCGGTACTTGGATATTAGGTCAGTGATGTAGTTCGGGGCAGTATGGTGGACAGCTTTGTACGTCAGTGTTAGGATTTTGAATTTGATCCGTTGCACACTCGGAAGCCAGTGGAGGGATTGGCAGAGGGGGGTGGCGGAGATGGAGCGGTTTGAAAGGTGAATGAGTCTGGCAGCTGTATTCAGGATCGACTGAAGCGAGGATAGCCAGCGGTGAGGCAGGCCAGTGAGGAGGGAGTTGCAGTAGTCGAGTCGCGATATGATGAGGGAGTGGATGAGCTGTTTAGTGGTTTCTGGGGTTAGGAACGTGCGGATTTTGGCGATGTTGCGGAGGTGGAGTCTGCACGAGTTTGTTAAAGATTGGACTTGGGGCTGGAAGGATAGGTTGGAGCCCAGAATGACACCAAGTACTCTGGCCTGCGGGGCGGGTTTGATGGTGGTGTTGTTCGATGTGATAGAGAAGTCAATGGGGGGTGATGTCCGGGCTGGGGGGAAGACAAGAAACTCGGTTTTGGAGAGGTTCAGTTTAAGGAAGTGGAGCGACATCCAGTCTGATATGTCGCTCAGTAGGTGTGTGATTCGGGCGGAGACCGAGGGGGTGAGGTGGGGGGTTGAGAGATAGATTTGTGTGTCGTCGGCATAGAGGTGGTAGTTGAAGCCGTAAGAGTGTATGAGTTGGCCAAGGGAGGAGGTGTAGATGGGTATGACATGGAATGCTTCCATTTGGAATTAAACCCTTTCACATCGCATGAACAAAAGTAACAGTCGTCACTATGGTTCTTTTGCTCTCGCCATACCATAGGAATCCCATAACGGAGAGATTTTTTCTTACCCTTGAACCAGTTTTGGAGGTCCTCAACACACCGTTTGCACACTTTATGAGGCGCCCAAACTTTTTCTTGATCTCCAATTTTTAGTCCAAAGTATGCAAAGTATACTTTTTTCACAAAGTCTGTAATATTCTGCTGTTGCTTCAACACTGTATATTCACCATAGATGAAACAGAAACTGTCTGGCGAATTAATACACTTTCGCAGAGCCATAACATAACGGTTGAAGAATGACGAGCTAACATGAACTGCGATGAAAAAGTGTGAACAGCCTAGAACCAAGAACCTGATGATGATTGGTGCACAAGTGTGGACTGCAGGAGAGAGCAGCTCTGTGTCTTTACACGAGACATCACAGTGCTGGCCATGCCCCCCTGCACTGACCGGAGCTGCTGCTATCTGCCCTGTGTCTCCATCCCACTGGATTCTTCAGGAAAGATTACCATGGTTTCCTATGGAACATGTTCACATCTATGTTTTTTTGAGCTGCTGAATTTTTTTGAAAAGGTCAGGGACTTTTTTAAAAACAAAAAGCAGTGTTTTTGCTATAATAGAGTTCAATGGAAAAGATGCTGAAATGCATGGTAGTGCATTTTTGCTGCGTTTTCCATTTTGCATTTTTATTCTGCCCAGCAACAAAAAAAAATCCACTTTAACAAGAAAAAAAGAGCTGAACAAAATGCAAACGCAGTAAAAACGCGTGTACAAAAACGCAAAACAAACTGCAAAGAGCACAGGTGTGAACGGAGCCTAATACATCATTAAGTGCTAGTTCTCACCAGAACGTGGTGCGGAAAACCTGCGTTTCGTGCATGATTCCTGTAACGCATTCAAAATGCACTGCACATGCAGTGGTTATCAGTATTAAAGTGTTACTAAACCCCCAGACCCTGCATTCACTGTATCCGGTCTCCCTGGACCCTGCAGTCACTATATCTGGTCTGGTCTCCCCGGACCCTGCATTCACTATATCTGGTCTCCTTGGACCCTGCATTCACTATATCTGGTCTCCCCAGACCTGCATTCACTATATCTGGTCTCCCAGGACCCTGCATTCACTATATTTGGTCTCCCGGACCTGCATTCACTATATCTGGTCTCCCAGGAACCTGCATTCACTATATCTGGTCTGGCATTCACTATATCTGGTCTCCCCGGATCCTGCATTCACTATATCTGGTCTCCCCGGACCCTGCATTCACTATATCTGATCTCCCCAGACCCTGCATTCACTATATCTGGTCTCCCAGGACCCTGCATTCACTATATCCGGTCTCCCCGGACCCTGCATTCACTATATCTGGTCTCCCAGGACCCTGCATTCACTATATCTGCTCTCCCCGGACCCTGCATTCACTATATCTGGTCTCCCACAGTACACTCAACATAGAAATGCAATTATTTTAGTAAATATAAACTGCTAAATACCTTTTCTTATCAGCAGTTAGAACAGTCTTGTGACTTCTATCAGTGTTCAGCACAGCACTGGTTAAAGCTTGATATGACACAAAAAAGTGGAGAAACAAAAAACCAAATCTGACACATTCCACACAAAACCCCAAAAATGGACTAGGCAAAATTATTGGCACCCTCAGTTTAATATTTGGTAGCTTACCCCTTGGAGAAAAGTATTATTATTATTATTATACAGGATTTATATTATTATTATTATAGAGGATTTCTATTATTATTATTATAGAGGATTTATATTATTATTATTATTATACAGGATTTATATAGCGCCAACAGTTTGCTCAGCGCTTTACAATATAACGGGAGAAAATACAGCAACAATACAGTTCAATACAAGATAACAAAAAATAACTGAAATCAATTGTTTCCTGTAATCATCATTGAATTTCTTCCACCTCTCTACTGGAATTTTGGAGCGCTCTTCTTTCACCAACTGCTCCAGGTCTCTCAGATTGGAAGGGTTCCTTTTCCCAACTGCTGTTTTGAAATGTCTCCACAGGTGCTCTATGGGATTGAGATCTGGACTCATTGCTGGCCAGTTCAGTCCTCTCCAGCGCTTTGTCGGAAACCATTTCTGGGGCTTCTTGACATGTGCTTTGGGTCATTGTCCTGCTGTAAGACCCATGATCTCTGACAGAGACCCAACTTTCTGACACTGGGCCCTACATTGCACCCCAGAATTCTTTGGTAGTCTTCAGATTTCATAATGTCATGCACACGGTCAAAACATCTGGTGCCTGAAGCAGCAAAGCAACCCCAAAACATCAGTGACCCCCCTCCACCACGTGTGACTGTAGAGATTCTATTCTTTTTTTAAAGGCCTCATTTCTTTTTCTGAAAACAGTAGAATGATGGGATTTATCAAAAAGCTGTCATTTTGTTTTGTCTGTCCACAGCACATTCTCCCAAAAGGATTTTGGCTTCCTCAGGTAAGTTTTGGAAAACTCCAATCTGGCTTTTTTATGTTTCTGTGTCAGCAGTGGGATCCTCCTGGGTCTCCTACCATAGCATCCCTTCTCATTCAGATGACGACGTATAGTGCGAGCTGACACGGGTGTACCCTGTGCCTGAAGGTCAGCTTGAATTTGTCTGGAAGTTGATCGAGGTCCCTTATCTACCATTCGAACAATCCTTCATTGCAGCCTTAGATCAATTTTTCTATTTCGTCCACATCCAGGGAGATTAGCTACAGTGCCATGGGCTGGAAACTTCTTGACAATGTTGCACACAGTGGACACAGGAACATTAAGATCTGTTAATTGATACAGGTGAGTTAAATTACAAATTACAGGAGCATCACAAACTTGGAATGCAATTATTTCTTACAATTTTGAGAAGGTGCCAATAATTTTGTCCGATCCATTTTTGGGGTTTTGCGTGAAATGTGTCAGATTTGGCTTTTTGTTTCTACACTTTTTTGTGTCATACCAAGACAAGCAAAAGAATAGCTGAAACATCTGTATTTGCAAAAATTTTCTGGATGAAGTGGTGCATTATCTGAGAGAAATGCAGGGGTGCCAATATTTTGGGCCATGACTGTATATTTTTCTATCATTAAATTGTTGCAATTACCAACATTTGTCATATGGTGGCTGAAACACTCTTCTGAGGAACGCACATCTGTGCACTTGTGAAGTTTGAACAGCACACGTTGGGGTTGATTTGCTAAAGGCGAATAGACTGTGCACTTTGCAAAAGCAGTTGCTCCAGAGCTTAGTAAATAAGGAGAAGGTCAGCTGAATTCCACCATCCAATCATGTATGAGCAAAAATCCTTTTTTTTTTTTAATTTTCCTTTCACGTGATTGGGTATTCTTTGCAAAGGGAAGCTTTACTTTGTTTACTAACCTCTTGAGCCACTGCACTTGCAGAGTGCACAGTCTATTTGCCTTTAGTAAATCAATGTTAAGGAAATGGAGTTACCCCATGGACAAAACTAATTAGATATAATGTATCTTCCTACAGATATGTAATATGGGTACACTCATCCACGGGCTTAAATGTCAGCCTCTCATGGATAAGCCCCATACAGGGGCAAACTGACCATTTGGGAACTCGGGCACTGCCTGAGGGCCCTGGGTCAGTAGGGGGCCCCATGAGATGCCCCTGGAACCTTTTCATAGGCTTTTTTGAGTGTGGTTTGATAGTGGGCGAGGACACAGGGGCCCCATGAGTTGTCAGTCCACCCCTGGCCCCATACATCACCATATCCAGTCAAAAATATCTCACTGTCTTGAGTAATGCAATTGATGCACTGTAAAACACAGTACAGACCTTTCCAAAAAAGGGGGGAGAAGAGTGAATACCATGTGCATTCAAAAAGTGCTCCAGAAGAATAGACTCAAAGAAAAAAGAAACTCTACATGTTTAGCTCCAGAAAACAGAGCGTTGTCAGGAGTATAAAGAATTAAAATAGGTCACATAGTGGTTGGAAGTTGTGCTCAGCTGCGCATGGTGGCAAAAGCCAAAGAGAACAATTGTTTTTTCAGCATCCTTGGGTTGATCGATGCAACTCGGTGCACTTGGTGTTTATGAGCTCTTGTCGCTCCAGGCTTTGTGGAAAGCTATTTTTCCTTCCAGCAATGGAAATCAAGGATGCCAGTGACTATGATTTTTGTACATTTTTGGTCTGGAGTTCTCTATAAAATAATAGACCCCCCTAACAACATTAGTAAATTGGGGAAAGAGCACGTTCCTTTCCCCTTCACAGCCCAGCACACTGATGTTACACATGGGTACCAAGCAATAAGCACACATTTAAGTGCATTCCAAAATGAAAGATATTTGGACCCTCCCGGGGGACGGAGAGATGGATGAGATTGATCTAATTTTAGGGTTTGCGGCGTGTGCTTACCCGGCGTGGAAGATGCCACATCAGTCACAGGAATCATCCATCACCGAAAACGTGACAAGAGTCTGGAGGAAGAGAAAGCAGAAGTGAACCTAATAAAATAGGGACGTACGAGGCTCCATCTGTGAACCCAATTTTATTATATCTGAGTAAAGGGAAACTCCACTGAACTAAAAAATCCATACCGGCCCTCCTTATGAACAGTGAACGTAGACAATACCTATATAACATTTAGGCCCATTCACTCCGCAACGCACTAAAAAAAACCTCCTGCAGTCAATTGTGTTTTGGCGAGTTTCAGGGCCGGGTCTCAGTAGGAATCTCACAGGAACGTGTTGTACATTCCTGCACGATTCACATGCAGTTCTGTGTGGTGCAAAAAAGGAGCGCAGTGAAACGCACTGCAACAGGATCGCATGGTACTTTTGTGCGTGCACACACACTGCATTTGCGACCTGCATTTCGGGTGTCCTTATTTCTGACACCCGCTGCAGATCGCAATAGCACTGCATTTTGAATGCAGTGTGAAAAACAAGCATGGAATGCAGGTTTCCCACACTGTGTTGTGAGCGGGCCTTTAATGGGGTTTTTTAGTTCAGTCATGTGCATTTTTAGCATGCTTATGGACATTTTTCTGCATGTTTTAGGCATACCTACATGGAAGAAAATTATACTTTAAATATATTTTAAAAATATTCTTCCCAAATATATTGTCATATATTTGAAATACTACAATTTTGGCCGTATTCAATATATTTCAATATATGTATATATATACTGTATTTTGAAATGCATTTTTTTTTATAAAAACAAAATATATGACAAATATTTTAAAAAATATATTCTTCAGATTTTTTTAACATAAGTCATTTTAACATATATTTTTACATATATTTGTAAATGCATTCCAAAAATGTAGATTAAATGTATTTTTAAAAACATTTTTCATATATTTTGTAATATATAAAAAACGCAATTTAACATACAGTATATATATATATATATATATATATGTGGGTATTTCCTCTGAAACGCATTGCCATGCATTTTAAATGCAATAGCATGCAATTATGTATGTTCCTGCAAACATGTTGGATGATATCACACATCTCTGGAACACAGATGTGTGAACATCAGATTCCTAGCAAAAGTTCCTGTGTAAAAACGCAAGGACGGGCTGCATATTAATTGCGTTTCTTCATGCATTTTCACACATAACCATACACTTGTGTTGGGTTGTAACCCATGTAAAAATTTTATCCAATTCAGATTTTTTTCTTTTTTTTTTTTTTACTGATCTATATACAGTGCAAGTTTACACACCTTGTATGTACAGGTCCATTGAAAACAATGGTCTACCCCCACCTCACCCCTTCGGTCTCCGCCCGAATCCTACCTACTGAGCGACATATCAGACTGGATGTCGCTCCACTTCCTTAAACTGAACCTCTCCAAAACTGAGCTCCTAGTCTTCCCCCCAGCCCACACACCACCCCCCACTGACTTCTCCATCACATCCAACAATGCCACTATCAGGCCCGCCCCGCAGGCCAGAGTACTTGGTGTCATTGTGGACTCCAATCTATCCTTCCAGCCCCAAGTCCAATCTTTAACAAGCTTGTGCAGACTCCACCTCCGCAAAATCGCCAAAATCCGCACGTTCCTAACCCCAGAAACCACTAAACAGCTCATCCACTCCCTCATCATATCACGACTCGACTACTGCAACTCCCTCCTCACTGGCCTGCCTCGCCACAGGCTATCCCCGTTTCAGTCGATCCTGATTATGGCGGCCAGACTCATTCACCTTACCAACCGCTCCGTTTCCGCCTCCCCCCCTCTGTCAATCCCTCCACTGGCTTCCGATTGCACAACAGATCAAATTCAAAATCCTAACACTGACGTACAAAGCCGTCCACCATACTGCCCCGAACTACATCACTGACCTAATATCCAAGTACCGCCCAACACGCACTCTCCGCTCCTCACCTCACAAGACCTCCTTCTCTCTAGTTCCCTGGTCTCCTCCTCCCATGCCCGCCTCCAGGACTTCTCCAGGGTGTC